TCTCAATCTTCATTACTTTAGTCAACATATTTACAAGATTCTGAGCTATGTATATCTTCTCAAAGAATAACTGTCTATCTTCTAAGAATTTACGAGTAAAGTGGTACCTCAGCTGAATATACTTTGTCAATACTTGAAAAACAACATTATTAGTAGATGAATAATACATACGGTCAATATGAAGCTTTCCAATCTGTCGCACTTTGCTCAGTTCTTCCATAAAGCTCTACAACCAAATCATGTTCTTGTCAGTCTTAGTGATAACAATGTATTCGACTTCTGTAGTTGAAAGTGCAACAATTTTTTACAACTTAGAAACTCAACTCACTGTTGTGTTCCCCAAAGTGAAGATATACACTGTTGTACTTCTTCTATCATCTATATCCTTTGTCAGATCAAAATCCACATAATCTTGTAGATCAATTTTTGCAATTCCAAAGCAAAGTGTCCCGTTGATTGTTCCCCTCAAATATCTGAGAATCAAAATCCTCTTCACCGCTCTCCAATGATGCTTGCCTGGATTGCCCATATACTTGTTGACCCTCCCATATACTTGTAGATCAATCTTTGCACTTCCAAAGCAAAGTGTCCCGTTGATTGTTCCCCTAAAATATCTGAGAATCAAAATCCCCTTCACCGCTCTCCAATGATGCTTTCCTGGATTGCCCATATACTTGCTGACCACTCCCACAACATGCACAATTTTGTTCTTGTATATATCATAACATATGTCAGAATTCAAACCGTTAAAGCATATGGACTTCTCCATCCGCGCTTGCTTTGCTTTAAACTTAGGTGATAGATTGTTAGATAACTTGAAAGTACCACTTAAAGGGCTGCAAACAAATTTTGTCTCTCATGTTGAATCTGTGTAGGATATTCTCAACATATTTTGCTTGAGGCAACTTCAGTGTACCTATTTACTTGTCTCTGCTAATTCTCATCCCAATGATCTTCTTGGTTGAACCTAAACCGGTTATCTTCTCATCTTATTTTTCTTCATATCTGCTTCTGTTATCAGTACGTCATTCGTATACAAAAGAAACAATATATAATAATTACCAAATTTTTTTATGAAATAACAATGGTCCGTGACAATTCATATACCCACTGTTTAATATGAATTCGTTAAACCTCCTACACTAATGTATCGGGGTCTGCTTCAAGCCATAGAAACTCTTTTTCAATTTATAGACCCAATCTTCTTTCTCTGGAACCTCATAACCCTGTGGTTGCATCATATATATTTTCTCTTCCAGGTCTTCATGTAAGAATTCTATCTTTACATCTATTAGCTCTAGGTTTTTATTTTTCTTTGCTACTAAGCTCAACATATCTCTGACAATTGTCATCTTCACCATAGGAGAAAAGATCTTAGTGTAGTCTACTCTTTATTTTTGTTGAAAACCTTTTTATAAAAAGTCTCACTTTATAATGTATGCATCCATCTGACTTTTTTTTCATCCTATAGACTCACTTGCTGTGTAGTGCTCTTTTACCATATGATAATACTGACAAATCTCATATCCAATTTGACCTTCATCACAACATCTCGTCATCTATGACAAATTCCATCTTTTTTGAATCTTTTGCTTTAGTGGTTTATTTATAGCACTCTGATTCAACAACGCCACTTAGCAACAAATATTATAAAGAAAGAGAATATCTCTGTATCGACACATGATTGCTGGATCTTTGAACTTTAGTGACAGGTGACTAGAGAACCTTCTGTGCTTCATCTAATTGAAGACTTCTATTTTTTTTCATCATCCGGATCACTAGTATCTTCTGTCTCAGCATAATTGAACTCTCCAGAGGTAACTAACTGACAATCCTGAGTTATGTTCTTCTCTTTTTAGATCTTCATTTCATTGAAAGTAACATCCTCAGTCCGGATTAACTTCAAATTCTGATGATCCCAGAATTTGTACCCAAATTCATTTGAGCTACATACCAAATGAAAGTGCAATTGATAGATTTCGAATCAAGTTTACTTGTGAACCTTCAATCAATATGAATATATGCATGTGAAATAGACTTACTTATTTGTCACCCCAGGCTTGTACTGGTAAGCCTTCATTTAAATGTACCGACATACCACGATTGATCAGATAACCGACATTGTTCACTGCTTCTGCCCAGAATTATCTTGGCACACATGCATGTAATCTCATACTAATGACACATTCTGTGATGATTTTATTCATGTGCTTAGTCACACTATTCTGCTATGATTTTCTTGGAACAATGAACTCATGTCTGATTGCTTCTGATACATAATAATTCTCGAACCTCTAATCATGATACTTGTCACCATTAATTGATTTGAGATCCTTTAGCCTTAAATTTGTTTCAGTCTCTACCATAACCTTCCACTTTTTAAACACCTCAAATACATTAAATTTATGTTTTATGAAGTAAACTCATATCTTTTTTTCTGTGATCATCTATGAAAATGACAAAATAGTAGGAATCTTCAATGGACTCAATTGAAGTTGGACCCGGTACCTTAATATGCATTAACTCCAGTTTTTTTGAGTTACTATTGATCTACTTTTGAAGAAAGAAACTTTTTGCTTGCTATATGCACAATCTTCACTTAAATCTAAATTTACAGATTTATGACTAAGCCCACAGTGTCAAAGACTTGCATCAATTTTGGTTCCAACCACCTCACTGTATTCTGTGATCTCATTAATCAGGTAAAGAATGCCTTCAATATTGTCTCATGCCATCGCCATTGCCCCTTGGTCACCTTCCATGAATTATTTATGAAAATAGTCACGAATCCTGACTTTGTCTGTCTGCTTATTGAGATTAGATTTCTCTTCAGACTTTTACCTTGTCTAACCTCATTGAGTTTCCAGACTGTTGCATTTGAAAATTTGATATCAACATTACTCTTTCCTACGATATTGCAGACCTTCTTATCTCCTAACTAAACTCTCCATAAATCACTCTGTGTGTAGTTTTTAAACACCTCTTTGTTGGGGCATGCATGAAAATAAACACCCGTATTTACTATTCAAGATTTAGTACTGAAGAGGGATAAACCAGAGAGTCATCTTGGATTTTGTTTGTGGAGATATTTGTAGAGAGATTTATTTCTTGGCTTCCACCACCAACCTTCCTTTGATTTTTACAGTCTTTGAAATGACATTTCTTCTCGTAATTCCAACCTTCACCTTTTCTACTTTATTTTCCTGACTTGAATTTTCCTCTTTTGGATTTGAATCTATCCTTACCTATATTATTGTTAAGATTTCTTCCTCTGTTCTTAACATTTAACCAGGAACTTGAAATTCATCGCTCGCTTCCTCCTTGCGAACTCATTCATTCTGCATTTACCCCATTGAAATTCAACTTCATATTATCTGAAGAGTTACTGCCGTGACCAATCCATCCCAGCTGTTCGACAATGAAGATAGAACTAACAGTGCCCTGTACCCTTCATCAAACTCAATGCCCATAGAACCAACTGGTTTGTCACAGTGTTGAAATCATTCAAGTATTTTGCCATCAAACTACTTTCCATTATCTTCATTTTGAATAGTCTCTTCATTTGAAGAACCTTATTTGAGGGTGAGGGTTTCTTATACATCATTATCAATGCTACCACAACATCTATCGTAGTTTTCTCATTTACTATGTTGACAATAACAAACTTGAAATTGAAAGATGAATCAAACCTAGGGCTATTTGATCAAACACTTCCCCTCTTTCGAGAATTATAAGTTCAGACTTTTTGGTGATTCTTTTTAGTGACATATACATTTTTTTTGATACAATAAATATCCATTGCATTTTCTAGAACGCAAAATTCGATCCATTGAACTTGACGTTGTATTTTGTTTCATCAGCCATTGCTTCCACTCAAATTAAAGATATTTATAAAAAAAATTCCGCTCTGGTACCATTTGTTGGGATGAAAGCTTGGGATTTGATCGGTTCACAATCAAAACTAAACTGCGGAAATATACACCAATCTGAGAGATCCAAAACAATAAATTGAGTGTGAGTGCACATCAAGGAAATCCAGAAAAACACACAAAGATTTAATGTGAAAAAACCCGAGAAAGGGAAAAAACCACAGAGCCACACTGCACCAAAAAATCCACTATGAAAGAAAAATAATCCATAATTATACCACTCAGATTCACTCTCTACACTACTAAAACTTACAACAATTTACACCTCTTCTCTTGATCTCACTAGAGCAAGCACTTTCCGAAGTCCGCCCTCTTGACATAGACGCCGCTCCGCACTTGTTATGAACCATCGAGAATACACTGCGAGAGAGTATTAATCTTTGTGAAACAAGGCTTAAATCCTAACAAAATACAAACTGTTTTTGGTGTCGTAGTGCTGCTTCCGGGTGTTGCAGATTGAATTCATAAATATGGGTGTTGAAACACTCCGAAATGGGCGCCTGGGCGCTGCCCTCTCTGAGGTGGGCTCAGGGGCGGGCGCCTGTCCAGCGCTTGGGCACCTGCGCCCTTTGGGCATCTGGGTTCTCCCTCAGGCGTTGGTGCTGCTGCTGCTGGCTTTCTCCTGTAGGCTGTGATGGCTATGCAAACATGCTCCACGCTCTACAGAAATTAGGAAGGAGGTGGACTTTGATTGAGAGAAATCAAATGATAGGACTAAATTCCAAACTGTGAGGCTTGTACTGTCTTATTATCTACTCGAACCTTTACTGCCTTTACAGAAACACAAATTTATGCGGCCAAACATAATGCAATTTATTTTTAGTACTTTTATCATCATTTTTTATCTGATCCTATGACTTTACCCAAGAGAAACATTTGATTTGTCTTTCTATGTTTACTTTCATTCGTTTGCCTCTCAAGTAGTTAGCAAATTGTCAATATATAGTCATTACATGCGAAGTTGCAAATAACAAAATTTATAATATTGGACTCTCAAACATTTCATTTTGTAAGAAACATTAATGTATTTATGTAATGTAATTCTTATTCTTTTTTATTTTATTATTACAGGGAAGTTCCTAATGAAGTTTACAAAAATTTGGAAGCAGCTGGAGAGGATGAAAAGTGGTGGGAGGTGTGCTATCCTCTAATTCTTTCAAGTTTCATCATATACAAAATCTCTTAGAAACCCTCTATTTGCCTCTCTGTCACCAAACTTATGCTATTTAAGTATTTTCAGGGCGTGGCGTTACAAAAGCTTATCTTGGCTCATAACGAGATAGAAGTACTGAGGGAAGATGTAAGAAACTTAACAATGTTATCCATCTTGAACATTAGTCACAACAATTTAGCTCGCCTTCCTGCAGCCATAGGAGAGTAAGCTCATCTTTCAAATTGAATAATTAAAGAAAGTGAAATATTGTTTGACATTATGTTTTTTTATCTTACCTAATTAAATCGTTTTTATTCATCAGGCTTTCTTTACTAAAATCATTGGACGTGTCATTCAACTCGCTAACCAGTATTCCTGAAGATATTGGCTCTTTAACTTCGTTAATCAAGTATGACATTTTTATATGCTCCAATGGCATGAAATTATTTATGAATTTTTCAAATAGATTAGTTATGAAATGTTTGTTAGAAGTGTTCAGGAAACTTTGAAATTGAGTTAAATTTATTTGCATGGACTGCTTGACAGTTGCTTTAATCATATCCTCCCAAATTCTAAGCTATGCATGATTGTCTTATTATCTCATTGGTTGGAGGTTCTTACTCTAATTCAGAAGGCGAATGTTTGAAGTTATATGATTACAATTTTTTTGCTCATACAGTTATATGTATGTATGCACACACACACAAGCGCGCGCCTATACCCCTACATTTTAAGACTATCATTTTAATTTTGTTCTAGATGGCAAAGAAAATGTTTTGTTTTCAACCGTTATGTGTTATGTCATACATGTCATGAGAGCTTCACTTGCAATTGCTTACCTGGAGGAGAACAATGATCATACAATTCTTTGTATTGCTTAGAACTTATAGATACCATTTTAATTATATAAATAACGAGGATGATAGTGTAATTTTCTATAGCCTTCTTCTCTTCTAATTCTGAACTGCCAGTGGGTGGCTGGAATTCGGGATTTTTTTTTGTGATCAAAGTGAATTGAGGACTGCTAGATTGAACGCCTCTTTCAAAGATTAGAGGTTGTCTTTGTGTGATCGAGTTGTGTGTGACCGAAGAGCAATGAGGGTTTCCTTTCACTTGTGACTTGCTTTGAGGATGCAAAGAGATTTTTGTATTTGGTCTTACAGATTTGTTGAGCGATATTTTCTCCTTCTTTTCGACTCTTAGAAAGGTTGCTCGAAATTTGGTGAGATTTTTTCCATCATTAGTTTCGTAAGATGAGATTTTGTGCATTTGTTCTCTTTTGATGCAGTTCATTTTTGATCCGACCATTGTTAATCAAAGTTTTCTTGTCCCTGTTTAAACTTTTATTTTTGTATCACATTTGCGTGTGTGATTCTAATTTTGCTTCTCCTATTTTAGTTCGATTGCACTCTTTGGTGCTTTCAAAGAGATATAATATAGGCATTTGTTATTTCTGTCATGATAGGCCCTAAATCCAAGTAGGAGCAGGATAGAGTCAAAGGATGGTCAATATATAACTAAGAGTGGAATTGGTCGATTATCCTATGCAGCCAAATTGAGAAATGACAAATATGATACATGAGAAGGATGAGATCATTAGCATAGAAGGTTGAGGAAGTTATTTCATGGAGAAGTGATGTTGAACTAAAAACCTTGATTGAATAGGACTCTAAATTGCAACGACTCCATCATGCTGACAAACCAAAAAACCAAGGATGGACAAAGACATTTAGTTTCTTCTTCCTCTTACTAACACGAAGGACTCGACATAGCCCAACTATCTTTGGGATTGTTTGAATGGGGGTTGCCAAGCTGGCAAGATAATGTTGCTCTGCCGTCAAGCTCGAATGCCTATATACTCTTTGAGGGCATACAATAGTGTGATGCCTCAATCAAATTACACAATACGAACATTGCTTATTTTCACCAATTATTGTATTATTTAAAAGTCTAATGGGTAGTAAGCATTTATATATTGTAAAAGTTTTAATATGTAGATCAAAATTTAATTTGATCCTTATTTAAAACCATTGTTTTGAATTTGTTTCAAAGAAATATTTGTTAGTTGTAATTGTACTTGCATGCCACATGCCTCAGCAAAGTATTACGTTTGTACATTCAAAATTTAAACTTAAAATTTATCAAAACATATAAAAATTTGAAATGAATCTTTCCCCCTAAAATTTATTAATGATGATTACAAACATGAAATTAGTACCATAAGGCGAGTTTGGGATGCTAAATCTTTGCTTTTTTGGTCAGTACTGCTGTGATACATTTGATTCAACTATAGGCCAAGTTATATAAAGGATGAAAACTATCTAAATGGTGCACTAATGAATTTGATTTTAGGTGACTTAAAATCTATTTACTGTTAAGTAGAGCTGCCAAAAAGTTTGACTTTTGCGAATAACTTGTGTTTGGCCAGCATAATAGCTCATGTTTGTTCAGCAAATATGCAAGCCAAACATGAACGGTTTTTTGAGTTCAATTTAAAATGAGGCGGACACGAAAAAACAATTGTTCGATCTTATTTAGCTTGTTTTAACTCGAATTAATTAAATAGTTAAATTAATAATGATATTATGACATTTTTATATTAAAAATTTATGTTATTTTAAAAAAAATGTTAAATTTTATTATTATTTAAATAATTCGAGCTAATTTTGAGTCATACACGAGCTAAAACAAACAAATAAATTTGAAACGAGCTAAACACGAACATGCTATTCACGAGCATTTCGAACATGAGCATATTTCGAGACAAAAAAAAATTTTAAATGAGCTGAACACATACAAACGCTTGGCTCGTATACGCCTCTATCATTTTCTTGGCTTGGAGTACTTGTTCTCAGGTCATTTTAATATGGGCGCCAGAGTCCTACTTATCTAGCACTTTAACTTCACGTCTAAATTAGTTGCCATTCAGTTTTGGATCAACCCATTCATATATGACAATGTTTGCACGTTAATGACACGGATTGACTTACGTTAAGTGGCTGCTTCTTTGCATTAGAATGTGGAGCTACCCTAGATCTTTCATTATAAGGAATCATTATCCCAGAGGATTGGTCACACAATTCATCTGGATTTGTTTCTAAGAGAGAGAAAAGTTGTTTAATTCTGCAATTTAGAATGGAATTATGAGTTTTTGTATCTGCTTTGATTTCCTGCATTGCTCTGTTTGTTCATAGTTTGTCACAACCTTGACAAATGACTTTTCCCATTCTCTAAATTCATATGATGCATGAAGTTTATTGTCAAGAGCTGAGAGGTCTAAAGCTTTTGGTTTATTTGCTTTGTTGAGCTAAGCCGCCTCAAGTACGAAACCTGGTTACAAATTAGGGTATTTTATAAAAAAATTAAATCATAAAATTTGACATGATAGGAGGCTCATGAATATCCCGTAAATAGAACTAATTGGGAATTTACATACATCCCATTAAATTTCTGTATATTTACATGTCAAGCATCTAAATTTTTATATTGAATGATAAGAACACCTATGAAAGAAAATGTTTATTTCCCTTTATTTAAGCTGATGTAGTAGTATTCTTGATGTAATTAAGAGATTATGTTGTTATAGAAGTAAATATAAAGATTTTGGTGTTATTTAGATATATATATATATATGTAAATACATGAGAATTCGGCAAAATGTCCGCAGATCTTCGAAACTAATTTGTAAGGGGCCATTCAAATTTCTTGAGTTGGTAATTGAAATTTTTTAAGAGTGGTTTAGTTGTTGAATTTTTTTATAGTCAATTGTTTAGTTATTGAACTTTTTTGCAACTACTTTTTAATTTCTTAAATCTTGTCCATTATGTCATTCTATGAACATAATGGATGATAAATTTCACACTCACAATATTTTTTTTTAGTGGTACTCCATAAAGTATTGTTATCGATATGGACATGAAATAATAATACAAAAGTACCTTTCACTCCATTAGCACTAGAAAATACAAATTAAATATCTATTGCCAATATTTTCAATAAAATAACATTACAAAAAGAAGTATATTATCAGATGTACCACAAAAAAATAAATAAATACATAAATAAAAGATCAACACGGAAAAAATTATATTTGCTTAATCATAATTTTTTTTTAAAATTACATCAAGTTAACTTTGCTTTAATATTAGGATTAATCATTAGACATGATTTTAGGCTTTTAGCAATTGAATTGTTAACAGAAAATATCAGAAAAACTTTGAAGTATCTGATCTTTAAGATGCCCATATAAATGTGAAGCTATTGATTTGTCACCAATTGAATATAAAACTTGACATCGGAACTCCCATTGCCTGTCCATCATATGCTCAAATTTTTACTAAACAGAAATAATTTTCGTATCTTATCCATGTTGATGCACACCCCAACTTATTTTTGAATAAAAACCATCAAATGATGTTAATTTGTTAGACAATTGTCGAGGTGGGTTGGTGGAGTATGCGTTTGAAAGGAGTCTTACTCAAACAGGAAAGATTTTCTGTAGTGTTCATGCTTCATAATACCGCTGAAAGTTAACGAAGAAATTTTAAGTTTTACTTTGATTGTTTTTTTTTTTCAAATGAATGACATTTTTTTCTGATAAATTATGCTCTCAAAAAATATAATTTGGCCATCAATATTTATTCATTTTGTTTTATTTTTTGCATGGAACGTGCCAGATTTAATTCATGCATTTCAGTTGGAAGCATAAGATTGTATCTTTAATTGATGAAGTACAATAAATTAGGTTTAGATTATTAAATATTTTTACAATTTATTGGGATTTTTGGATTTATTATGCTTTGTTTGAATTAAAGTTGGGATTAGTTATTATATTTCAAATTCAAACCCTAATATATCCAGATGGGTTTATTTAATTCAAAGCAAATTTAATAAATCAAGAATTCGTAATAAATCGGAAATAAATCTCAATATATAATAAAAATATCTAAATTTAATTTCTTGTGTTGCAGCAATTGTAGTATACTAGTATGAGAAAACTTTTTATGACAACTTAATATGCTATTATAGGCTGTCAAAATTTAAGCATTGTGACGACTTACAGAGTTCATATTGAATTGTTTGCCTGCAGGCTTGATTGCTCCAATAATCTTCTGAATGGACTACCTCATAGCCTTGGCGGTTGCATTGATTTAGTGGAACTCAAGGTAACACATCATTGGAAATAAAAAAAATTCTTCTTCATCTCTCCTGTCATAGAATTCTAATGGAAAGGATCTTAAAGCAATAACTTGAGAAGTATATTCTTGTTTTAAAAGTTAAAATGATGATATTTTTTATGTGATATGAATGATTTTGGGTGTTATAAATGTAAAAGTTAAAGTTTAGGTGTTGGATATATAAATATTGTTATGTAATGGAGTTTGTTTGGGCAAGGAGAAGCATCCAGGGGCGAGAAATCCGGCTCCAGTATGTGAAAACCTGGCGCCCAGAGACTCATTTCCAGCTTTTCAGAAATAGAGCGTCTGGGAACTCGATACTTAGGACAGGTGATCCAACATCCAAAAGAATGACTCCGAGACCAGAGCGTATGGAAGGCGCCTAGTTCACACCCTGCATTTGAGTGCCAGGAAACCTAGCGCTCGAAAGCGGTACCGAAGCGCCTGTAATCAATTCTACAGTTTGAAACTTTAAGTTTGGGTTTCTTCCTTGCAGGAAGGGCAAGCGAAGATCACGAAGCGATGTCCTTAAGTTGTTAGTGGATTTCTATGAATATCTTTTGTGTGATCAAGAGAAGAGCGTTCGTGATTCAATGATTGTAGAGAGGATTTGAGTGGTGTAATATGTTTATTTCTCCTTATTTCATAGTGAGTTTCTCAGTATAGAGTGGATTCATGATTTTTTTCCCGTTCTTGGTTTTTTTCACGTTAAATATGTGTTCTATGTTCTGGGTTTTATGTCCGTGCGCTTCTGCTCAATTTTTTGCTTCGCATATCTCAAAATGGTGTTTTTCCGCAATTCTGGATTAGTAAAATCCTCCCAACTAGTGGTTCTGAAGATCTTTGGTTCGAGTGAGAGAATTGACCAATGAAGTGAAGTACAAGGTTGAAAAGTTCAACGGTATGAACTTTGTTTTTTGAAAAATACAAATTGAAGATTTATTATTTATAAAAAAACTGTATTTGCCACTGGAATGACTTAGTAAGAAGCCTAAATCAATGACTATGAAAGAATGGGAAGTTCTTGATCGAAGAATTTTATGTTTACCTTTTCTCATATGTTGCTTTCACTGTTGTAATTAGAAAATTAAGGTAGAGCTCATGACTGCACTAACAAGAATGTATAAGAAGTATTCTACTTCAAATAAAATTTTTCTAATGAAAAAAGAATTCAACATTAAGATAATGGATGGTAGTTCAGTGATTGAGCACTTGAAATACTTCAACATTGTGACAAACCAATTGTGTTTTGTGGGCTTCTAACTCTATGATGAGTTCAGGGCTTTGTTAATCCTATTTTCATTGTCAGACAATTGGGATGGAATGGTCACGACGATGAGTAACTCTTCAGGTAATATGAAGTTAAACTTTGATGATATTGTGGACTAGAGTTGAATAAAGAAGTTTGCAAGAAAGCGAGCTATGAAATTCCAAATTTTGTGCTAAATGTTAAAAAATAGAGGAAGAAATTTGAATAATAGTTTAGGTAAGACAAATTCAAGTCAAGAAGAGGAAAGTCCGTGTTAGGGAGAGAAAAAATGAGAAGAATGTTGGAACCACGAGAAGCAATGGCACTCTAAAAAGACTGCAAAATTCAGAAGAAGGTTTGTGGCGGAGGTCCAGCTAGGAAACTTTACAAATATCTTCATAGATGAAATTCAAGATGACTCCCTTATTTTGTCTATTCATGTGTTTATTTTCATGCCTGCCCCAACAAAGAGGTTTAAAAATTACAGTCAAGGCGATTTAGGGAATGCATATTTGGGAAATAACAAGACATGCAATATTATAAGAAAGAGTCATGTTGATATCTGGTTGCCAAATGGAATAATCTAGAAGTTTAGTGAAGTTAGAAATGTTCCATGCTTAAAGAAAAAATTGATCCGTGGGACAACTTGCGAAGTTAGAGTATATAACTACTTTCAAAGGTGATTCGTAGAAGGTAACTAGAGGGATAATAGTGATGACTCGGGGCAACATTGAATGCACTCTTTACCCTATCAATGAGATGACTGAATCCATTGATGTAGCTAGAATGAAGATTGGTGAAGGTCTTTGACACTGCAGGCTTAGTCGTATGAGTGGGAAATGTATGAAGAATTTCTAAAAATAAGCTTAGGGAAAAAGCAATCGTGGTCCGTCGGTATCTTTGAATGAAGACTTACCTAAATTAGGGCTTGTTTGGGGCAGCTTATGAGTGTGGCGGCATTTTGAAAACGCTGCATTCTTGTTTGTTTCCCGCGTATCTGCAAACGGGGTTTTAAATTTTGTATTACACTATTATTTTTTTATTAGATTGTTTGAAATAATGAGGATATCACGTAGGCTCTCTAAGGACCAAAAATTTTAAGGTTTCTACAAAAATTCTAATATAGGATTAAGGCTAGTTAACATTTAGAATTAAAACATTTCAAGATTTTTTAAAATCTATCTTTACTTACCTGTATGGTCTTTACGCTAGATTTTAAATGAGTTGCAAAACATGAACATCACTCAAACCATACTTTCTACCCATCACAACCAGAGATTTATTTTTATGTTACGAAAAACAACTGCTTGGAGCATTTGTGGGTTTAATAGTGAAGTCCATCTTATGGATAGTAAGAATTTTTAAAGGATTGTAAGTTTGAAATTATATGCCTTTTAGAAACTACACTAAATTCTTCTATTATCTCTTATCCTATTGTTTATAATCACTATAATTTTTTTTTAAATGAAGGTCAATGTTCATAATTTTGACATTGCTGATCATGATAGGATTTCTGCGCTCCTCCCTGTTTCTCCTCCCTCTGCTCTTCCCTCCTCTCCCCCATATCGATGAATATCAGAGTAGATCTTGTTTAGGGTTCAATGAATATTTATTGTGGAAATGTAGATCCATTTTTTTCAGTGAATATGGAGGTGATTTCTCTGTTTGGAAGTGTTCTTTCTCTCTTTCTCCTTCGGTTACATCTCTGAATTATAGATATGTGATTTTAACTTTTTTTTTTTACATATCATATGCTTGATCTATGATTTTAGTGGATGTGGGGGATTTCCTTTTGTTGCTTTGGCTATGAAAAATTTGAATGTGGGGGATCTCGTCACGTTACAGTTTCTATGTATATTGTGCTCCTTTGCAATGTGTTAAAGTTATAGATATGAGAATTTGCAATGCTCCTTTTGTTGCTTTGGCTATGAAAAATATGTAGGTATGCTCCTTTGCAATGTGTTAAAAGTTTTAGATATGAGATATAAAAAGTTATAGATATAAATATGTAGGCATGCTCCTTTGCAATGCTCCTTTTGTTGCTTTGGCTATGAAAAATATGTAAGTATGCTCCTTTGCAATATTATGCTCCTTTGCAATGTGTTAAAAGTGATAGATATGAGAATTTGCATTGCTCCTTTTGTTGCTTTGGTTATGAAAAATATGTGGGGGATCTCTTCACGTTACAGTTTCTATGTATATTGTGCTCCTTTGCAATGTGTTAAAAGTTATAGATATGCTCCTTTGCAATGCTCCTTTTGTTGCTTTGACTATGAAAAATATGTAGGTGAGAAGGGTGGCCAATTTAGTAGATTAACTAAACCAAAACCAACCTCATTGTTGGTAACTATATAAGGTCAATAAATGACCTTTTTTGTCTTCTCATCAGTTTGGCTAAATGATTTATTGTGTGCTTGTGGAAAATGTAACCAAGTGAAGCTAATCTTTTGGAATTACATAGAATATATTAAATTCTTCATGTATGTATCATAGTGAATATATAGTCACGCCTTGTGTTTCTAACACTCATTATATAAAATATTTTCATTCGCAGTTTATATGTTCAAAATGGCTGATTTCAAATGACTCATCTATATATAGTTATTATGCTTTCCTTCAAACCAAAATGTTATTATACATACGATTTTTTTGTTGAGCACCATTAATTTCATGTTAGTTTGTTCATCTCACAGTCAAAATGAGTAAATCTAATAAATGTGGATCATCGGAGATGTGGGATAAAGAGACCACCTTGACATTTTGTGATCTTTGTGTGAGGGAAGTCGAGATGGGTAATAGGCCGACCACCTATTTCAATAAAGAATGTTGGCAGAATGTAACCGTTAAATTCAAGGAACTCACCAAAAGGGATTACGATCGGATGAAACTTAAAAACAAATGGGATCAATCAAAAAAAGACTGAAAATTTTGGAAAGAACTCAAAAGAGGATTAACAGGATTGAATTGGGATCTACTTAAGCGGACAATATATGCACCAGATGAATGGTGGGCTAAGAAGTTAGCGGTAAATACATACATATATTTGTTTTTTGCGTTGATTGCATATTTCTAAAGATTTTGACTATTTATGCCTCTTATTATATTACAGGTAGTACCAGCTGCAAAAAAAATCAAATTTAGTGGCATTGATCCAGTATTAGAGGAAAAGTTGGATAGCATGTTCATAGGTATTGTCGCTACCGGAAGTCATGTTTTCACCCCAACTGACCTGAGTTTTGTTGGTTTAACACATGACATTGCAACCGAGCACATAGGTGAATCTGGAGAAGGTCCCAGCCAACTTCATATAGAAATTCAATGCACTGGTGGTACAAATCGTCTCAGAGTGGAAAAGAAGAAAGTTGGAGCCGCATTTGTAAGAAGTTCCATAGAGACGATACTTGAATCCTGTAAACCGAAGACTGCACCACCACCAACACCAACACCAAATAACTACTCAATTGAGGAGTGTCTTAAAATCCTGAATGCATATCCTAGTGTTAAGGAAGACGAACTCATGTACTTAAAATATGTGAAGTTGTTAGGGAACTCCACTCATAGACAGTTCTTCGTGAATTTGGACCCAGAATTCCGACTTTCTTACTTGCGATCTTTTATGAATGATTGATTAAGGTTGACATTTTTTTTTATTTTAATACCATTCATTGTAATAATTATGTGAACTCTTTGTTACTATCTCTTCATTTCAGTATCAGTCATTTAGACAGCTCTTTGCTTGTGTCATTATAGTTTATGTTTATGTATTCGTTCCTTTCTCATGTTGTAGTATCATTCCTATTACTTCAATTTAACTTTTAACATGTTTAGAAAAATAATATTTACCACATCTTGTAAAATGGATGGAGAACAACGTAATCACAACTGCAAAGTCGCTATCGCCCTCATTTTGCTATACTACTACTATCATACATACGTTGATCAAACACCTTGTATGACATCGAGTCAGATTGGAGATAAAAGGGTCGGAAAGTTATTACATGGACACCCGACAAGGTTTGCAAACATATTCCGTATGACGAAGGTGATATTTCTCGACCTGCTTAATGAACTTCGGGACCTTCATGGATTACACGGCTCAGCAAGAACAACTGTCAGAGAGGTATTGGCAATTATCCTGTATATCTTATCCTAAAATGAATCTATTAGAGCTATGGAGCATTTTCAACATTCCTCAGAAAACATTAGTAGATATTTTTCCGTTTGTTTGAATGCGCTGGTGAGTCTGGCATACAGGATAGTAAAACCCGAGGATCCAACGTTCCAGAAATGACCCTCGATACATGCCCTTCTTCAAG